TTTTAATTTATCGCCCTTGGGAAGAATTGCTTTAATCTTAGCATGAGTTAATTATATTTTATCGCGAATCATAGCATGATAATTTGTTTGTTTAGCGTGGCATGTGGATTATAACTCGCATGCGATAGATCCTTTTTTTTCCTTTTCCCTCGTGGAAATATTGTATTGGGCTGATAGTTGCTTGGGCCCGATCCATGGATTTTTTGGGCCTCAACAAATACATTATAAAAATCACTTTATAATATTATATAGTGCCCGATTAAAATACACTTTGGATTTGTAGAAACTAACAAATTAATATCTATAAAGTACAAACTAATGCAATTAGAAGGGTCCTTGAAAAAAAAATATAATAATAAGTATCGCTGGACAGCTATACTATGAATTTTTTAAAAAACAAATACATATAGCCGGCCGGCTATACGTTGTTTGACACGAGGCAACTAATGACTACAGGGTCTTTTTATTTAACAATAAAAATCGTACAGCCGCACGGCTATACACCGTGTTTTTAATGTTTTTTAAAATGTAGCTTTGTTTTGACACGTGGTGCCTAATAGATGGGTTCCTTTAAAAAAAAAAAAAGTATAGCCGACCGGCTGTACGCAGGTTTTTATATTTTTGAAAACAGTACAGCCGACCGGCAATACTATTTTAGTTTTTAATTAAATGGTATAGTCGCACGGCTATACTCTAATTTTTTTATAATTTCTTTTAAAAATAGTGTATCTGGCCGGCTTTACTTTTATATATATATAAATTGTCTTTAATAAATAGTATAGATGAGTGGCTATAGTCTTTTATATATATAACTATATATATGTACGTACGTAGTTTTAAATAATATATTCGTGCTCTATAAGCGTCACCCGTTTTTTAAGAAGCAAACGTACAATAGTCGTATTGTACATGTACGTATGTATTTCTATTGCTTAATACACATATTTTTTTATAAAATTTTTAGTAAGACACACAAAATTCACGTATTATACAAATAATTCTCACATATTACTGAATAAGAATAATATATCATAAAAATCACATTATAATATTATATAGTGGCCGATTAAAATCCATTTTGGATTTATTGACATTAGCAAATTAATATCTATAAAGTACAAACCAATGCAACTAGAAGAGTCTTAAAAAAAAAAAAAAGTATATTGGGACGGCTATACTACGAAATTTTTATAAAACAAATACGTATAGCCGGGCGGCTACACGTTGTTTGACACGTGGCACCTAATGGCTAGAGGGTCTTTTAAAAAAAATAAAAATAGTACCACCGCACGGCTATACCCCGTGTTTTTAAGTTTTTTCAAAAAGTAGCCTTGTTTTGACACGTGGCGCCTAATAGGTGGGTTTCTTTTTTAAAAAAATAGTATCGCCGTACGGCTGTACTCAGGTTTTTATATTTTTTAAAACAGTACAGCTATATGGCTATACTATTTTACACGGATGCGCTGTGTAAATAATATAGCCGTACGGCTATACTCTAATTTTTTTTAATTTCATTTAAAACTAGTGTATCCGGCAGGCTTTACTTTTTTCTCTTTTTTTTTTTTGTTATTATAAAAAAATTGTCTTTAATAAATAGTATGGATGAGTTGCTATAGTCTTTTATATATATTACTATATATACGTACGTACATATTTTTAAATAATACATTCGTGCTCTATACACGTCACCCGTTTTTTAAAAAGCAAGCGTACAATAGTCGTATTGTACATGTACGTACGTATTTCTATTGCTTAATACACATATTTTTTTCCAAAATTTTCAGTAAGACACAAAATTCATGTATTATACAAATAATTCTCGCATATTACTGAATAAGAATAATATATTATAAAAATCACATTATAATATTATATATTGGGCGATTAAAATCCACTTTGGATTTGTTGAAACTAGTAAATTAATATCTATAAAGCTCAAACTAATGCAAATAGAGGGGTCCTTTTAAAAAAATAATAATAATAAGTATAGCCGGACGGCTATACTACGAATTTTTTTAAAAACAAATGCGTATAGCCTAACGGCTTTTCGTTGTTTGGCACATGGCACGTGGCACCTAATGGCTTTAGGGTCTTTTTTTTTTAACAATAAAAATAGTACAGCCGCACGGCGATACCCAGTGGTTTTAATTTGTTCAAACGTGGCTTTTTTGACACGTGGCACCCAATAGATGTGTTGCTTTTTTAAAAAAATCGTCTAGCCGGGCGGCTGTACTCAGGTTTTTGTATTTTTTTTAAACAGTACAGCCGAACGGCTATACTATTTTTTTATTAAATGGTATAGCAGCACGGCTATACTGTAATTTTTTTCTAATTTCTTTTAAAAATTGTGTATCCTTCCGGCTTTACTTTTTTTTTTTTTTTTTTCTAAAATTATCTTTAATAAATAGTATGGATGAGTTGCTATAGTCTTTTATATATATTACTATATATACGTACGTAAGTATTTTTAAATAATACATTCATGCTCTATACACGTCACCTGTTTTTTAAAAGTAAACGTACAATAGTTGTATTGTACATGTACATAAGTATTTCTATTGCTTAATACACATATTTTTTCACAAAATTTTCAGTAAGACAAACAAAATTCACGAATTGTACAAATAATTCTCATATATTATTGAATAAGAATAATATATTATAAAAATCACATTATCATATTATATAGTGGCCGATTAAAATCCACTTTGGATTTGTTGAAACTAGCAAATTAATATCTATAAAGTACAAACTAATGCAACAAGAAGGGTCATTTTAAACAAAATATTAATAATAAGTATAGCCGGACGGCTAGAGTACGAATTTTTTAAAAAACAAATACGTATAGCCTGGCGGCTGTTCGTTGTTTGACACGTGGCACCTAATTGCTAGAGGGCCCTTTTTACACAATAAAAATAGTAAAGCCGCACGGCTATACCCTGTGTTTTTAATGTTTTTCGAAAAGTAGTCTTGTTTTGACACGTGGCGCCTAATAGATGGGTTGCTTTTTATAAAAAAATTTGTATAGCCGTACGGCTGTACGCAGGTTTATATATATTTTTAAATAGTATAGCCGGCAGGGTATACTATTTTACACATATGTGCTGTGCGGTTTTTTATTAAATAGTATAGCCGCACGGCTGTATGCTAATTTTTTCTTTTCTTTTTTAAAACTAGTGTATCCGGCTGGCTTTACTTTTTTTTTATTTTTTATTTTTACTAATTGTCTTTAATAAATAGTATATATGAGTGGCTATAGTCTTTTATCAGTCTCGATCTCTTGGACCACAGGAGTCCAAGAGATTATCGTCACTCACCGTTGGATATGAAGGTACCAAAGATGGTCAAGGACATCCAGAGCCTTATCGAATGTGTCACGGCTCTCACCAGGTTTGTCTCCAAAGCTACTGATTGCTATGCCCCTTTATTCAAGGCGTTTAAAGGACACAAGGGAGGCATCACCTGTACAGTCGAAAGCGACAAAGCTTTCAATGAGCTCAAAGAATATATGAGCCGGGCACCTCTACTATCAACCCCCGAGCCTGGGGACATCCTCACAATTTACCTCTCTATCTCGGCCACGGCAGTCAGCTTGGTGCTCATCCGACCACATGAAGGTGCTGAACATCCGGTGCACTATGTTAGCAAGGCATTGCAGGATGCTAAAGCTTGGTACCCAGTTCGTGAGAAGCTGGCCTTTGCCCTGGTAGTCTCAGCTAGATGCCTCCGACCCTATTTCCAGGCACATACCGTCCATGCCCTAACCAACCAACCACTAAGGCAGGTGTTGCAGAAGCCGGATACTTTTGGTAGACTGGTCAAATGTACACTACCGGTCATGCGGACGGTTTCAGAGATCCAAATCCAGCCGGCCCTATATCAAGTGTAACGATTGTGGGGTGAGGTTCCTTGAAGCCCAGTGTGACAAGACCATTGAGGAATGGCTAGAGATGTACTTGTCTCACCAGAAGCTGCTTGCTTCAAACCATTGGACCCGAACTATTCTTCTCTCCACTTGTTCTCTTCCAGATGAAGTTTTACATACATAAAAGAACCCTAAACTTAAGTTGATATCCCAAAAAAAGAGGCAGCAATTTGTTAGAAGTTGTAAAAAAGTATCTCTCTCTTTTTATATGCTTGTTTTGATTGAAGTACATGAAATGATATGATATATAGAATTATTCCTTAGACTTTAATATCTTGCTATTTATAGCAAGCATGATATATATGATAATATTTGAAGTACTTTAATATCTTGCTAAATTAGGCTATTTATAGCAAGCAGGGTTTTATCATTGAGTTGACAACAGAATATTGATTAGGTTAATTCCTCAGACTTTTTTGTTTTGGTATATTATGCTTTCTCTGCAGGTTACTCATTTCAGATATGGAGGAATATCATTGGGTCTTAGCTGGGCCCACGTGTTGGGAGATGCCTTTGCAGCTTCCGATTTCTTCAACGGCTTGGGGCAAATTATGTCTGCTCTTGAGCACAATAGGCTACCAAACTATACAACATCAAACACGAAGTTCCAGAAACTTGAAAACCCACCACCCCCCTCTCCATAAAACAGGTGAACCCAGTTGGTGACCATTGGATAACTCCCATTAACTGTAAAATGGAAACACTTTCATTCCCTATCACTGCCACCCAGCTAAACAACTTGCAGTTCAAGATATTGGGTCAAAACCAAATTCATCAAATTCCAATTTTTGAACTCATTTCTGCCATAATTTGGCAATGTGTAGCCAAAGTTAGAGAAGGGTCAGAGCCAAAATTGGTGACAATTTGCTAAAATGACCCAAAAGAGAGAACAAGAGGGGAATACAGCAACAGTCAGATTATAAGCACAGTAGGCACATTTCAGCGTTACAGATGCGGATCCAAAAAAGTTGGCAACCTTGCTAGTCAAGCAAGCCGGGAACGAGAGATCCCAAATAGAAGAAGCTATGGAGAATGATAATGAAGTGGCTGATTTTGTTGTGTATGGAGCCAATTTGACGTTTGTGAATTGAGAAGATGCTGATTTCTATGGGTTGGAAGTGAAAGGGCATAAGCCGGTTTGCATGCCTAAAGACTTTGGAGAGGGTAGAGGTGAAGGAAGAGTGGTGAATATTATTTTGCCAGAGAAAGAAGTGTTTGGGCTGAAATCTGAGTTGAGAAAGAATGATCTGTTGCTTGAGAATGAGCTTGAATGAGTGCATATGTGTGGTAATTAGAATTTGGTGTGTGTTAAATGTGATGTGTGGACAATATTTATGGGTAGCTAGATTTCTGTGTAATTGAGAGGTGAGCAAAGAGTTGAGAAAATACGTAATTAGAATGGGCATGCTTCACCTCCTAACTTTGATGCGGGCAACCCTCGATAGGACCACACTAGACCGAAGCTAGAAAGGAATCTGGCCACCTTGGACATATATTCAGAGTTTTCTAGCTGCATTCATCTGTGATTGCACTCTGTTGCAGTGAGTATGACTAATGGTCTGCTTCTCAAACAGTCTTAAATGCAAAGGTTGCAAAGATCACTCACAAATTATGGCTTGCTCCAGGACCGGACGGGCTATTTGGATTCAAGGGCTGGTTTTCCAAAGAAAGGGCGGGATAAAGATAATATTTCGGAAGCAGAAGTTGGGGGACTATGACCACCAAACAAATGCCAACAAATCCAGGTGTCGTCTAATTATTCGTACGTCCTGTGAGAAAACTAAAATTGTAATCTCATTTCATTAAACAATAATGATTACACAGCTGTACAGTTTGTTAACGCAAAGCTAAACAGAAATTAACAACTTTCTGTTGAAGAGGTCAGCTGTGACAAAAGGCTAGCATTGGACAAATGCCGTGGTGGTATAAAGTAGATAGTAGCCGCAGTCCAGGTGTCATCTCATTATTCGTCTGTACCACCACCAGACAAATGCCATGGTGGTAATGCAGAACCACTGTCTAACGTAGATTGGAGGTATCTAATGATCAGTTGGTGAGAGATGCATGTGTCCGCAAATATCAAAATGGTAGAGCCCAGCAAGACTTTTTAAGTCTCCTCCTGAGAGTTAAAGAAGCTCCTCCGCCTGTCTCTGCTTGCTATTGCTGTCTTGTATTGCAAATCTGCATCCATCATCTCCTTATCCTTCTACCTACGACAGAAGCTCTGTGCCTGTGCGTTTTCATCCATCTTCAGTCTCTTCTTCCCATTCCTTAACTAATAATAATTAACTAGCATTAATATGATCTGCTGTTTGTCTTGCGCAGGGTTACACAAGGAAACTAAGATGGCAGTAGAGCCTGTGCTTACTTTTGTGGCCGAGGGAATACTGACAAAGCTGACTGACCTTGCTGCTCACGAAATCAGTCTTGCCTGGGGATTCAAAGCTGAACTAAAGCGGCTTCGCAAAACACTGTCCACCATTGAAGGTTACTTAGCCGACGTTGCCCAGGGACCACAAGGTCGGAGCAAGTCCGTAGAAGATTGGGTGACGAATCTTAAACGCCTAGCTCAAGATGCAGATGATGTCTTGGATGAATTCAACTATGAACTTCTCCGGCACAAAGTAGAAATCCGAAATCATACGAAGAAAAAGGTACTCAACTTCTTTTCACTCTCCAATCCGGTTGCATTCCGCCTTAAAATTGCACATAAAATTCAGAAGATCAATGCATCCTTGGTGGATCTCAAGAGTGAGGCCGCTGTCAAGGAATTAGAGGACGCATACAAACCGACTCATTTCCTGAAAAAGATGGAATCATCGTTGGCAGGGAGGAGGTTGTGTCAAACATAGTTACAACCTTGACCAACTCCAACATCAATCAAGAAAATATTGCTGTTATGGCCATTGTGGGAATGGCAGGCCTAGGAAAGACAACTTTGGCCAAGTCTGTATACAATGATAATTCTATAAAAGGGTATTTTGATCCAAAAGTATGGGTGTGCGTATCTGATCCTTTTGACGTCAAATTGATTTTAATTTCCATGTTAGAATCTCTTAGCCCATTAAAAGCCGCTGTAAAACAAAGTTTGGATGCACTTCTTAAACACCTTCAAGAAGAGCTGAAAGGGAAAAAATACTTGCTGGTACTTGATGATGTCTGGAATGACGATTCAAGACAATGGAATGACTTGATGGATCGTTTGTTAAAGCTTGATTCTGCTCGGGGAAGCACAATTATTGTCACTACCCGCAGTGCCAAAGTTGCATCAATCTCAGAGAAAAAACTTCCACGACAGGATTTGGAACTTCTATCAACAGATGAATGCTGGTCCATATTGAAACATGCAGCTTGCTCAAATGGTAGTTTTGATATACCTCTTCATTTAGAGAGAATTGGACGGGAGATCGCTAAAAATTGTGAAGGTCTACCATTGATGGCAAAGGTACACGTACTATATATTATACATACATACATATATATATATATATATTTCATACAAGCATTGCTTACATCAGGCATTTTTATTTATTTATAATTTTATAGATTATGGGATGATTTCTGGGAATTTAGCAATCATATTATGAATGGGTTATTTTGAATTGCATTGATGAATTTTCATGTAGAAGGAAAATAACAAGGTCTGAAGGAAGAGAAAGAAGATTGTCGATTTCTCTTTTAGTTTCATGTCATCATGTCATCATGCCCGTTCTCCACAATCTCTTTTTTCACAATCACTTTATTAAATAGAAATTAACAAAGATGTTCTAGAAGACATTTGCATTACTACCACTTACCCTAAACGCAAAAGTTGCAACCTCATGAGCAGCTTTGTTGCAGCTGCGAGGTGCAAAATGAAAATTACTTCCTGGAATTTTCAAATTGCAATTTGGATGTCAAAGAGAATACTATCTAACTCCACAGCCACCGCCCTCTTCCCCTTCACCATCTTGATGGCAACTTGGGAATCAGTCTCCACACCCTTAATTAACCTCAATATTGATATATGTAAATATTGCCTATTGGTGTGGTGATCCGCTAAAAACCTTGCTTCTAGTAATTGATTTTAATTTACCTAACAAATATAAAATTAAGGGTTAAAAGCCTTTTTAATCATTGGGTTCTATGTGATTTACAAAGTTTACAATTTATAGAGATTCCATCAATTTTCTATTAAAATATATTAAACTACTGAAAAATCAATTAAACATGATATGTCGGTCGGCTTTTCTCGGACATCATCTGTCTGTCAACAACAATACAAGAGATTCCTCATCGAAACTTTTTTAGATTATCATACAATAAAACATTCAATCTTGTATCCAAAACTCCTTTTTTTAAAAAAAAAAATTTAATTTTATATAATGCATAGGCTACCTATATTATATACAATAAAAATTTCATATGGTCTTGAGGGCCAGGGATTGTTAACAAAAGGGATTTAAAAAGGATTTTATTTTATTTTTTGTCTCAGAAAATAAGGGATTGAAAAGGGAGAATATGTTTGGTGCTAAACATAGGGGATGTATGGCATGGGATTGTTAATAAATCAATATTAATGGATAATTTTGGCGTTCAATTTAGTTTTGGGTTTTAGTTAGAAGTATGTGGGTTTTGTCTAGACTATTTTAGTTGCAAGGGGTTATATCTGAATGACTCTTTTTGTTGCTAATTTTACCCTACTAATAATTTGATAGAATTTCTCTAATCCGTTTACCAGGTTTTGGGAGGCATTTTGCATTCTAAAAAGAGTACTTCCGAATGGTCTAGAATTAAAGACAGTAGAATATGGGACTTACCAAAGGCAGAAGATAGAATCATGTCAGTCTTGAAGTTGAGTTTTGATAATTTAGAATCACCAGCACTAAAGCAATGTTTTTCATATTGCTCAGCGTTCATGAAAGATGCTGAGATGGAAAGAGATGACTTGATTCAACTTTGGATGGCTCAAGGATTCCTCCATCCTTCTCCTGAAAAAAGTAATTTAGAGATGGAGGATATAGGTAACGAATATTTTGATATTCTATTCCAAAGCTCCTTATTTCAAAATGCTACAGTGGATGATGATGGCATTGTTACTGAATGCAAGATGCACGATCTAGTGCACGATCTTGCAGAACGTGCATCTGAATCTAGAAGCATGATGCGAGACTTCCACAAGAATCAAGATGTTGCAACTCCCAATATAGAAAGAATTCCAAATGGAAGTAGTGGGAAATTGAGATCTCTGTTTTTAAATGCTGAAGCACTACCTCGAAACATGTTGCCAGGGTTTAAAGCTTTACGTGTCTTAAAATTATACGACGAAAATATTGAGGAGCTTCCAAGTTCAATTGGAAAGCTAAAACACTTGAGATATCTTGACATTTCCTTTACAGAAATCAAAAGACTCCCAAATTCTATTGGCAAGCTGTATAACCTACAGACATTAAGAGCAACATACTGCGGTCTTGAAGAATTTCCAAAAGACGTGCAAAACTTGATCAACTTGAGATATGTTTATTGTGACAAGGGAACGAAATTTCCAGTTGGGGTATTAGGGAGATTAACTAGCCTTCGAAAATTACCTTGCTCTTATGAGGATTATAAGGTGATGGGTAGGGAAATTGAGGAGCTGGCTGCCTTGAATCAATTGAAGGGTAAATTGATTATTTGTAATTTGGAACATGTAAGGAATGGAGATGAGGCAAGGAAAGCTAAATTAAAGGATAAGAAAAACGTAAGACACTTTCTATTTAAATGGACGAAAAATGGGCCAACAACCAATAATAATGAAGAGGATGTACTAGAAGGCCTCCAGCCGCATTCTGAGTTGGAAAGGGTAGAGATTCGATATTTCATGGGTACTAAATTTCCATCATGGATGATTAAGCTTGACAATTTAAAGCAGATTAGGCTTAAGGGTTGCAATAGATGTGAAAAGGTCCCAACACTCGGCCATCTACCTCATCTTACAGTTGTTTGGATTGGAGGAATGGATAATCTAAAATGTGTTGGAGAAGAGATTTATGGAAATGACGTATTTCCAGCACTGAAAGAATTATGCATTCGTAATTGCAAGGAGCTAATTGAATGGATGGAAGCACCAAAACAAGTCATGGTGTTTCCTTGCCTGGAGAAGCTGGATATCAAGAATTGTCTCAAATTGAGAAAGGTTCCTAGTCACTTTCCATCTCTGAAGAATTTGATGATAGAAGGTAATGAGGAGCTTACATGTGTGCCAGAAGGGATGTTGTTGAAGACAGAAGGTATGGAGATAATGGATTGTGAGAAATTAACTTGTATTGCCCCCGATGTCTTTGGTTGTTGTGCATCTCTTCGAAACTTGGTTGTAGAG